TATATATATGTATTTAGAGAAAATTGTGACACTAAAGAAATCTGCTATGGCATTATAATTACATTTATTTTTCAAAAACAGACTGTCATGATAAACTACAGCTATTTTCATCTGCGTTTTATACAGCTGGACAACAAGTCCTAGGCAGTACACTCCATTCATTGGTTCTTGTTTTCTCCTTCCACCGACAACCGTGTAAACAAGTGTAACTCATCATCACCTTACCCTGGAAAAAGAAATCTGTGACGAGGATAAAAACTAAATTTACATAAAGAATGTATGGCATAATAAATCATTTCTAAGGCTCATCTCACTAGCTTGGAGCCAACCTTTCTTTAAATGATGATTTATATTTTTACCCTGCTGTTTTTTCATTTCTCCTGCCATTCACAACTAGTTTTCAATATTGTTGCTGTTAAGTGCCATTGAGTTGGTTTTGACTCACAGCAACCCTGTAAAGTGTTTCTGAGGCGTGGCTGGTGAATTTGAACTGCTGACCTTGCAGTTCAAACTGACCTTGTGGTCCAGTGCATTATCCAACAGTGACACACCAGGACCCCATTTTTCAATATGTTGTTACTATTGTTGTTAAGTGCTGCTGAGTCTGTTCTAATCCATAGCGGCCCTGTAAAGGGTTTTCGAGGAGCGGCTGGTGAGCTTGAACTGCTGACTTTGTGGTTCAAATGATTTAAATATGGTGGTTATGTGCCGTGGAGTTGGTTCCAACTCATAGCGATCCTGCACAGCGTTTCCGAGGCTGTAAATCTTTATGGGAGTAGAAAGCCTCATCTTTCTCCTGTGGAACAGCAGGTAGTTTTGAACTGTGACCTTGAGATTAGCAGCCCGATTCGTAACCACTATGCTGCCAGAGCTCCTGACTTAAATATGTTGTTGTTGTTGTTGTTATGTGCCATGGAGTTGTTTCTGACTCATAGCGACCCTGTACAGGGTTTCTAAGGCTGTAAATCTTTATGGGAGCAAAAAGCCTCATCTTTCTCCTGTGGAACAGCTGGTAGTTTCGAACTGCTGACCTTGCGGTTCACAGCCCTATTCGTAACCACTATGCTACCAGAGCTCCTGATTTAACTATGTTGTTGTTGTTATGTGCTGTGGAGTCGGTTCCGACTCATAGCAACTCTCTACAGGGTTTCCGAAGCTGTAAATCTTTACGGGAGCAGAAAGCCTCATCTTTCTCCCGTGGAACAGCTGGTAGTTTCGAACTGCTGACCTTGTGGTTCACAGCCCGATTGGTAACCACTACGCTACCAGAGCTCCTTATGGATGATTAAATCAGGATTACAAAGAAGCTTCAGTCAGATTCTACGGGACCAGAAAAGTGTTTTGTTTTTTAATTTGAGATAGAATTTGTGGAGGTGAGAAACTAGTCCTGGTCAGTTCCGTGTGTACATCCGGGTCAGTTTACACCTTTATTTGCTTGGACTCTCTAGGCATTTGATGCTTGACTTTTGCTATAAGAGGTGGTTGTGAATGATCTAAGAACCCATGGTGACACAGTGGGTTCAATGTTGAACAAGTTCAAATCCACCAGCTGCTCTACAGGAGAAAGATGAGGCTAAGGAGCAATTCTAGTCTGTCCTATAGGTGGAGATGAGTTGCAATCAATTGATGGCAGTGGGTTAGTGGCTGATCTTAAGATCCTGTGAAGGGACAGGAGAGAGGAATCACCAATCAATTCTCAAGACAATTGAGTTACATAATATGGAGAGAGAGCAAGAGAGAGAGAGACACTATGTTAGCTTTAAAATAATCAGTTACTGACCTCATCACCCATGTGTGATTGAAACTCAAACTTCATTGGTGGGCAGAACGCAGCAGGGTACATCTCCATGAATCTCTGTTTATCACTCCGGGGCTCTAAATTGTCAACTGCATTCTCAATAATGTCTAAGCCTTCATGCCTGGAGGTTTCAAGGTTATACTCCGCAGAGAGATATGTTCTTAAGGCTCTGTTCAAACTTGCATGGTAGCCAAGATCACAGCACTTGAAAAAACACAAAATATCATATGCAAAAATTAACGAAAAATGAATCGACTTAAATGTACCAGCTGAAACTATAAAACTCTGAGAAGAAAACACAAGTATAAATTTCCACAAACTTGACTTAGGCAATGCTTTCTTATCTATGACGCCAAAGTCATAAGCAACTAAATGAAAATAATAAACTGCCAGAATATAGAAAGAACTGCTATAACTTAATAGTAAAAAGACAAATAACCCAATTAAAAAATGGGCACAGGACTTGAAGACAATTCTCCAAAGAAATTACACAAATGATCAAATAAGCACATGAAAAGATATTCAACATCATTAACTATGAGAAATGCAAATCAAGTAAAAATCACACAGTCATTATACTCCATAGAATGGAATCCATCAAAAAGACAGATACTAAGCATTCAGCAAAGATATGGAGAAACTGAAACCCCCATGTACTGCTGGTTGAATGTAAAATAGTATAACCATGATAGAAAGAAATCCAGTAGTTCCTCAAATACAGAATTGCCATATGACCCAGCAACTCCATTCCCAGTATACTGGGATGAGTAGTCGCTTAACATTCATCACGTTGTTGTTAAGCACCACTGAGTTGATTCTGACCCATAGCGACCCTGTATAGGGTTTCCGAGGAGCCGCTGCTGAGTTTGAACTGCCAACCTTGTGGTTCAGACTGACCTTGCAGTCCAGCGCATTAACCCGAAGTGCCAGGCCAGGACTCCATAACATTCACCATATATGTTCTATGAAACAGGACACTACGTGATTTGCATGTTGTGTGAACACTATTATGTACAGGAGAGACGCACACAAGACAGTCACTGGGCAGGCAGGGACCTGGGTAACCAGCAAGGGACTCTGCAGAAAATTTTGTCTCCGGCCCTGCTGGTCCTGCCTGGTCACTAGTCCTTCATGGATGCCACCTGGTGTCCAGCCCGTGGGGGACCTGGCTTGCCAATGGCTCTCCCCTCTGCTTTCCTTCTTGCCTACCTTCCTTGTTTCTGCCTTGACTACCTCCACCTCCTCCCCCAGCCATCCTTCCTGTTCCTCCTCTTGCCATTACCCAGGTTGGACATTAGGCGACTGCAACTGTGGGTGCAGTCTCGGACTTTGGCCCAGGAGTTGTGTACAGGGTGCCTGGGCTGAGTGGAGCAGCGTTCCCTCTCAACCAGAGGTATCTGCACAGTTATTGCCTGAGGCAAACACAGTAGGGCATGTAGGATGGGCACCAGGACCCTTTCCCCCTACTGTCTCAAGACCAGGACAGATGTGGGACCTGAGTTCTAGTGAGCAACAAATCAGATCTCTGTGCTTAGTAAAGTATGTCTTGTATGTACTGTTCTCTTGCTGGTATATCTGAACTCTATTTTAAGACTGTAGAAGAATTGATGCACTTGAATTATGGTGTTGGAAAAGAATATTGAAAGTACCACATATTGAACAAACTGGTCTGTGTTGGAAGAGGTACAAGGAGCCAGAAAGCAACTCAGAGGCCAAGATGGTTGGACATATTATACGTTGGACATATTATCAGGAGACAACAGTTCCTAGAAAAGGATATTATGCTTGGTAAAGTGGTGGTGGTATGCTGTAGAGTTGGTTCTGACTCATAGCAACCCTATATAGGGTTTCCAAGGCTGTAAATCTTTATGGGAGCCTAAAGCCTCATCTTTCTCCCACGGAATGGCTGGTAGTTTCAAACTGCTGACCTTGAGGTTAGTAGCCTGACTTGTAACCACTATGCTACCAGAGGGTCAGCAAAAAGAGCAAAACCTCAAACAAGATAGATTGCTATCATGGCAGCAGCAATGGGTTCAAGAATAAAAACTGTGAAGCTGCTGTAGGACCAGGCAGTGTTTCATTCTATTGCGCACAGGATCACTATGAGTAGGAACAGACTCTACAACACAACTTTAACCTTATGGGAACACTAACATTTCTGTGGTCAGACACTGCCTGCATGAAGATCAAGTAACACATACCTTCTAGCCAAGAGAAATAAAAACATTTGTCTACTCAAAAATTTGTTCATGAATGTTCATAGCAACATTGTTTAGAATAGCTAAAAAAGAGAAACAATTCAAATGCTTATCAACTGATGAATGGATACATACCATGTGGTCTATCCATATAATGGAATATTCAGCAATAAAACGAATGGAAGCACTGATACATACTACCATATTAATGCATCTTCAAACCATTATCCTTAAGCTAAAGAACTCAGTCAAAACGGACTTTCATAGGATTAAAAGGAGCCCAGACGGCAGAGTTGGTTAAACATTGGGTTGCTAACCTCCAGGTCAGCAGTTTAAACCCACCAGATGCTCATAGGAGAACGATGAGGCTGTCTGCTCTGGTAGAGATTTACAGTTTCAGAAACATTCTGAGGCATTCTGTCTTCTACGGTTGCTATGACTTGCAATTTACTTGAAAGCAATGGGTTTTGTTTTGTTTCATTTTCTTGGTTTAAGTTATTAAATGTCCAGCAGAGGACACATAGTGTTATTAACATTTCATGATAATATTTAACTTTGTCCTCTCAAGACGCCCTTTGAAATGCAGGATCCACGGAGATAGAAAGTAGATTAGTGGTTGTATACAATTGGGAATGGTGTTAGAGGAATTAGGGGCGATAATGGCAAAGGAGTTGGGGTCTCATTTTGGGGTAAATAAAATGTTCTAAAATGGATTGTTGTGTTGGGTGCAAAACTATGAATATATTTAAAGGTAGTAAGTTATATTTTTTAAACGGGTAAATTTTATAGTATGTGAATTATTTATCAATGAAGTTATTAAGAAGGAAAATCAAATACTGTAACAAAATAATGAAAAGAATAGCATTCAAGTTTCATTCATGCACAGGGGTTCAGATGATTTACTGAAATCCTCCTGGAATGCAAAAATGCTAACTAGAATAGTTTAGGAGCCGTGGTGCTGCTGCTGTGTGTTAGGTGTTGGGCTGATAACCACACGGTTGGTGATTCAAACCCAATGCTTATCACTCCAAGGGAGAAAAATGAGGCTGTCTGCTTGTGAAAAGATTTAGTCTTAGAAATCCTATAAAGGGTCAGAATTGACTTGATGGCAGTGGGTGGTACATTTAATATTCCTAATATTCTTCTATAAGGAGCTCTGGTAGCGTAGTGGTTACGAATCGGGGTGCGAACCACAAGGTCAGCAATTCGAAACTACCAGCTGCTCCACGGGAGAAAGATGAGGCTTTCTGCTCCCATAAAGATTTACAGCCTCAGAAACCCTGTTCAGGGTCGCTATGGGTCGGAACCGACTCGACGGCACTTAACAACAACAACACTATTCTTCTGTACATCATAATTCAACTACATGAATTCTTCCATAGTTTTCCAATGTTCACACGCATATGAAGCTATTGAAACTACCATGGCTTGGGTCAGGTGCACTTTAGACCGCAAATTGACATCTTTGCTCTTGAACCCTTTTAAAAAGGTCTTGTGGAGCACATTTGCCCAATGCAATACGTCATTTGATTTCTTGACAGATGTTTCCACGAGTGTTGATGGTGGATCCGAGAAAGTGAAGTCTTCAACGGCTTCAGTCTTTTCTCCATTTGTAAGGATTTCTGTTTTTCTTTACACTGAAGTGCAACCCATACTGAAGGCTGTAGTCTTTGATCTTCATCAGCAGTATTTTAAGTTCTCTTTGCTTTCGGCAAGCAAGGCTGCATTATCTGCATACTGTTGTTGTTGTTGTTGTCAGGTGCCATCGAGTCGGAACCGACTCATAGCGACTCCATGCACAGCAGAACGAAACAATGTTCGATCCTGGGCCAACCTCACCACCGCTGCCACCCCCGAGTCCATCAATGATGCCACCTGGCCGATCCATCTCGTTGGAGGTCTTCCTCTTTTTCTCTGACCCTCCACCCTACCCAGCATGACATCCTTCTCCAACGATTGTTTCCTCCGGACTACATGTCCAAAGTAGGAGAGACGAAGCTTAGCCATCCTGGCCTCCAAGGAGCACTCTGGCTGCACTTCTTCCAAAACAGATCTATTGGTTCTTTTGGCAGTCCATGGCACCCTCAGTATTCTCCTCCAACACCACAACTCAAAGGCATCAATTCTTCTACGATCCTCTTTATTCACTGTCCAGCTTTCGCATCCATATGAGGCTATTGAAAACACAATGGCTTGGGTCAGGCGCACCCTAGTCCTCAAGCTGACATCTCTGCTCTTCAATACTTTAAAAAGTTCCTGTGCAGCAGATTTGCCCAGTGCAATACGTCGTCTGATCTCTTGACTGCTACTTCCGCGAGTGTTGATAGTTGATCTGCATACTACAGGTTGTTAAAGAGTCTTCTTCCAATCCTGATGCCATGTTCTTTTTCATATAACCCTGATTCTCAGATTATCTGCTCATCATACAGACTGAACAAGTATAGTGAAACAATACAGCCCATGCATGTGATATTAATGATATTGTTCAATGATTTCTGCATTCCATTGGGTCACCTATCTTTGCAATAGGCACGAATATGGATCTCTTTCAATCAGTTGGCCAGGTAGCTGTCTTCCAGATTTCTTGGCAGCTTCTAATGCTGCATCAGTTTGTTGAAAGATTTCAATTTGTGTTATATCAATTCCTGGAGTCTTTTTCTTTGCCAATGCCTCAGTATACCTTGGATTTCTTCCTCCAGTATCACTGGCTCTTGATCATATACTACACCTCTTGTAATGGTTGAAAATTGACCATTTCTTTTTGGTACAGTGACTCTGAGTATTCTTTCCATCTTTTGATGTTTTCTGCATCATTAAGAATTTTGCTCAAAGAATCCTTCAGTATTTTAAGTTGAGACTTGAATTTTTTGCTTAGTTCTTTAAACTTGAGAAATTCTGAGTGTGTTTTTCCATTTTTGTTTTCTAACTTTGTATCTTTTAACATTTCATCAAAATATTTGACTTTGTCTTCTCAAGATGCCCTTTGAGATTTTTGCTCTTTTACCT